CCCCCCTTTTCCCTTGGTTTTTTTTTTCAGATGCCGGCTACGAGTTCGACATTTGCTTCACCTCGGTACAGAAACGAGCCATCCGTACCCTCTGGACTGTCCTGGATGCCATCGATCAGATGTGGTTACCCGTTATCCGAACCTGGCGCCTGAATGAAAGGCACTACGGGGCTCTCACTGGCTTGAATAAGGCCGAGACGGCAGCAAAGCATGGTGAGGCACAGGTGAAGATCTGGAGGCGCTCGTACGACATCCCTCCGCCACCCATGCAGTCCGATCACCCCTTCTACAGCACCATCAGCAAGGTAAGACCCTATTGCTCTTCATCCACCTTGCTGGAAGGTTCCTAAAAGTCACCTCACGTCCCTGCAGTGTGGTCTGCAAGGTCTCCTCTGTCTATGTTGCAGCAGCTCAGTACTGGGGTGGTGCTGGCTGGCGTTGTGCTGGGTTTGTCCTGCTCTCTCCTTTGAGAGTTGAACCCCGCACTGCGTGGATACATTCAAAGCCGGGAGGGGGTACAACACCTCTGTTAATGATTAGTCCTGTGACCTGTGCATGGATGTTTGCTCTGGTCTCTTCACCCAGAGCAAGCAATGTGTGACTTTTGCCAGGAGGAACTCGGAGCCCCAAACCTCAAAAGTACTTCCTTGCTTCCAAGCCCAGCTTTGCTTATATGTAGCAGGTCCACAGGCAGAGAATTTGGGGTGGGGGGATGCAGGCCCTGCTGCTGCCTTCCCACGCTGCGTTGGGCTGCTGCATGAGCATGGCCATTCCCCCAGGACCGTCGCTACGCTGACCTGACAGAGGACCAGCTGCCGACATGCGAGAGCCTGAAGGACACCATCGCTCGGGCTCTGCCTTTCTGGAATGAGGAAATCGTCCCACAGATCAAAGAGGGAAAGCGAGTCCTCATTGCTGCCCATGGCAATAGCCTTCGTGGGATCGTCAAGCACCTGGAAGGTACGTCAGCCCTGTGGGGGTCTCATGGGGGTCTCCCCACAGCCCTGGCTTGGCACTGTGCGAGCAGGGCCATGAGTGATGGCACCTCTGTGTTCACAGGCATGTCGGAAGAGGCCATCATGGAGCTGAACTAGACTGTGCGCAAGGCCATGGAGGCTGTCGCTGCTCAGGGCAAGGTCAAGAAGTGAAGGCGGGCAGCAGGCTAGCACGTAGTAGAGCCCCCCGCCGCCCCCCACCCCTCTGTGCACACCCCCCACAGCCGTAGGAACTTGGAGCTGCGGAGCTGGAGCAGCTCCCCAGGATTAGGCCCGTTCCCTCAGGACCAGGCTCCCCTCTGCAGACAGCCTGGGGGCCCAGGGCTGCGCACACAGAGGTCTGGTGTGAAGGGGAGCGCTGGCTCTGCCAGGCAGTGACCACACACCTCTCTGTGCCGAGATCCCAGCCCTTGGGCCCCATCTGCAGGGGGACGTGCCAAGCGATCCCTCGCCGTGCCAGGCTCTTCCTTTGCTTTGCTTCCCCGGCAGCTCTCGTCACCCAGTTACTGTAGTTTTGTTGCTTGTTTTAGTCATCCTGGGAGCAGCAGGGCGAGTGCAGCACAGGCAGCGACCAAGCTGGGTACCCCATCCCCTGATGGGTGGGTGGCACAAGGATTGGGATGCGTAGATGCTAAAAGGGTTGTATTTCGGTGCATGCAGTACAGCACCCAAGGGTGGTACCCGTGACTCTGGACCTAGCTCTGCCAGCCCCTGCTTTAACTTATTGCCTTTGCACAAGGGCGAGGGAGGGAGCCTGTTGTCTGAAGGTCCGTGTCCACCACATACTTCCCCCAGCAACACCCATCCTGGTCCTGCTGGTGAAGCAGGTACCGTTGTGCCCCATCCCACCTGCGTGTACCTGTCGCTGCGGCCTCCCCCTCTGCCGGCGCCGTGAGCCTGGGTTTGCACAGGGTCAGTGTAACTGTCCGACCATAGCAGCTGTCTTGTTCCGGTTCAATAAAGAGTCATGCGCAATAACAAGGTGCCGGTGCTTTCCTCTGCCACATGCTTCCAGGCTGCCTCGCCCAGCACCTCCCTGGGGCTCCTGTCACATGCGTGTGAGGCAGCAGTGGCTGCTGGGCGCAGTCGTGGGGGTGCAGAAGGCATTCTGAGGGAGCAAAGCACAGCTTCCTAATCCCCACTGGTGGGGGTGACGCCCTGCAGTTTGTGATTTTAAAGGCTCTGGGTGCGGCACGCCCTTGTCCCCAGAGGCAGGCAGGGCAGCTGTGCCTGGAGGAGATGCAGAGCCCCGGGGTTGAGCACAGCCACAGCCTGTACTGGTTATCAGCTGCTCTCCATGCTCGACACCAACGTGGGGAAACCAGCCTGGCCAGGCAAGCCCCTGGAGCCAGCACCACCCAGCCGCAAACCGGAGCCCTCTGTGCCATTGGCCTCGCTGCGGTCAAGCCGCTAGGCTGTTTCCCTTCCCCGTCAGCAGCCTGGGAACATGGGCTTCCTCCCAGCCACAGCACTGGGGAAGGGGTCCCCTCCGCACCACCGCTATGGGAGCTGGACCAGCGGGCTGCCACTCAGCCACCCCTCTGGGCTGTAACCGGGCAGAGTACAGAGCTCTCAAAAAATATTTATTATCCACAAATAGAAAATCCATCCTGCCAGTGAGGTCCCATCTGGCTGTTCCGGCCTCTTTCACGTATGGAGGAGGCTGGAGCCCATGGGCAGCTCTGGCCCCGCAGAGCCCAGCACGGCAGCTTCTCATCCCGCAGGGCCCCTGCTAGGTCTGCAGGAACTGGGGCTGCACGCGGGCCACCTTACGGAAGTCCTTGGTGTGCGTCCGTGGGCACTGCATCTCGCACCAGCTGATGGGGACCATCTGCACCCCTAGGGACACCACCCGTCAGCGGTTCCCCTTCCCAAAATTGCATTCCTCTACGTGGAAAGGGAGGAGGCCGCATCAGCTGCCCCTCAGGTGGGGATGAGGCATACCCATCCAAGCCCTACCTGCCTCGCTGCGTGCCACCACCACCCCCAGCTCGTTCTCTGCCGTGCTCAGCAGGTAGTTGGACTGCGCATCCCCCAGCGAGATCTGGTTAGACAGGGGTTAAGGAAAAGGCCTCCCCAAGGGAACTCAAGCAAACCCTTGGCCCTCCCAGTGTGAAGGAAAAGGATACAACTTTGGCCAGGACTATGTCACCGGGCCGGAAACTCTTGTACACTTCTACCTGCACGGGAGAGAGCAGGCAAAACCACACAGTGTGGTGGGGTGCTCGTCAGCGGTGGGACAAGTGCCCCCCACCAGCAGAAAGCGGGGGCGGTTGTGGTAGCGGAGTCACTGGCAGCGCCTCACTGACCTTATCTTTCTCCGTGGCTCGAATATCTTCTCTCCTGAAAAAGGAGACGGAGGGATCTGAGTGCCAGTGAGTGAAGGCGACTCTCCAGCCCGCAGCAGGAGCTGCCTGGGCCTCCCTGGGCACTCGCCAGGATATGCTGGACACCTGCCCAGTGCTCGGGGCAGAGTTCCTGCTGGGGCAGCCGGCTGCGCCGCACAGCAAAGCCTTCCTCCCCCCACAAGGATGGGGTGCTCGGGTACCCCATCCTGTGGGGAACCCAGCCCTCTCCCTACCGTATGGTCCCCCGGAAGGTGGACTTCAGTGGTGTGGAGCCAACATACAGGATGTGCACCTTGGCAAAACGGGAGTTAATGCTGCAAACCTGCCCAGAGGAAAAGGGAAATCGGTGCCAGCACAGGCCTGCTCTCACCCCAGCCCACCCCGCTCCCTCCCAGCAGGAAAAGGGCAGGGTGCAGGCAGGACAGGACTGTATGTGGGGAGCTTGTGTCTTGCTCAGCCTCCTCCTCCTTGTGGCCAAAGAAATGGCGGCAGAGGTGGGACACCTGGCAGCGAGCCAGGTGAGGAAGATGATACTTGTGCAACTCAAGAGCCACAAATAAGACTGAGACCTGCTGTGACCCCAGTCCCTCTCCCACCATCAGGACCATTAGGAAATCAATCCCTGCTCTGTGCCACCCTTCCTCCGAGCTGCTCCAGGCACTGCCCTCCACACACTCTGCCCCAGAAAGAATTCTGTAAGGGAGAGCAAAGAAAAACCTCTCCCTCAGCCCACCTCAGCCTCAGGGCAGGCAGCACAGGCAGGGAATGTCGAGAGGCAGATGTCCCCCATGCCAATATTTGCCTTCTTTGTGAGTGAGGGAGACCCAAGTGAGCCACTGGGCTACCTCAGCCCTGCTGAGAGTCATGCAGAGGGTATCAGTGGGCCCAGGGGCTCCTCATCGCCCCCCCCACCCCTACACGCGCAGGAAGAAAGGCCAGCACAGGGCAGAGAAAGCAAAGGCTGTGAGATCTGCCATAGATAGCAGTGCACTCCAGCGCCCTACCTTGCATGTCACCACGGCCCCTACATCAGGCAGGAGCTGGGCCTCAGCGTCTCTCACCACCGACACGACAGGCAGCTGTGGGGCAGCAGACAGGAGGGTTAGCTCGGGGCAGGGCCTGCCTGCAGGATCAGAGGCACCATCAGAGCCCAGTTCCCCAAACTGGGAAGGGGCTGCGCAACCTCGGTACCCGGCAGCCGGCTCTGGGGACGGGCAGACGTACACCGTGGCCATGCTCACC